TGTCCAGCAGCTTCTTCAGCAGACTCATTTTTCGGTTTTTCTGTTGCTTTTGCAGTGGTACTAAATTCGATCAAACATAAATAGCAACGCGCACCAGACAAGCCCGGTGCGATCATGCGTTTTGTGCAATTCAGTCGATCGAACGACTGCCTGTTAATGATCTTCACTGCGTTGTACTTTAGTCTATGCAAAAATAGCTGAAACATTGGAAAATATTTAGAAATTTCACGCGCATGCGCATGAAAGCTGAATTCGAAACATTGAAGGGTGGATACCTTTCCGTGATTCCCAAGTTAATAGTTTACCCGCTAAAATTTTCACGAGGCCGTAGGTGATACCCGGGAGTGCGGGAAAGCTGAATTTGAATAGGCAAGGTTGAGCGTGGGCAGGGGGTCACTACCCTAAAATTTCAGCTTCCTAGACTTCGTGGTTTCCGAGATAATAATTTACCCCTCAAAAATTTTCACGGGGTCGTACTTGTTACCCGCGGGCAGGGGAAAGCTGAATTTAAATTTTCTGGGCAGCACATGGGCGGGGAACATGCTTACAAAATTTCAGCCTTCTACCCCTCGTGATTCCCGAGATACTGATTTTACCCGAAAAACTTTTACGGAGCCGTACGAGTTACCCGCGGGTACGGAGAAGCTGAATTTAAATTCACCGCGTCACCCGCTGGCGGGGAACACTATTCCAAAATTTCAGCCGCCTAGCTTTTGTGGTTCCCGAGTTGAAAGTGCGGGACAAAATGTGGGACACACACACACACACAGACAACCTCGTGACAATACGCGTTTTGTAAAGTAAAAATTAGTTGATTTGTTGCTTCTAGTAATAGGCATTATGCTCAAATCTCAAAAGGTACGTTTTTCTAATCACTTAGAGCGTGTCCACTCAGCGCTATCTTATAACAGGTTGGTATACCGCGTGGATAAACCAGGAGGAAGAGCTGAGAAAGCAAGTGGCCATGCATAAGGAACCCAGGCTGGAACGCACCAGGCGAGCCGGTGCGATCATGCGTTTTTGCACATAACTTGAATTGGGTTAATTGCACGAACGGTTGTTTCTTCACACCTACCTTGTGTGCTTACTGCCGAAAATCATGGAAATCTTGCATAAAAAGAATAAACTATTTCCGTGTAGCGGTGTTTTTTGAAAGTATCCCAACTGTTCAATGAGCAATTTTCCCGCCAGGAATTTAATTGGAAATCACCCGTACACGGAAATCACGCGTAAATGACGATTGAATTTGAAAATTTAAGTTTTATTTGGACGAGGAATATTCTCCTAAAATCTGGGCCTCCCAATTTTTCTGGTTCTC